CCTCTGGGGCCTCGGCCACTGATCTGAGCCTGAGGGTCCCGGCGCCTAAGAGGTCGGGCTGTGCGTTCCCTGGGGCCTTCTGGCCACGGGGAGTGGCGGGGCACGCAGGCGGCGATCAGAGGTTGCCCCGTCCTCTCCGGGGGCCTCAGCTCATCCTGGGAGGCATCTCCGAGGAAAGTTTGCTCTCCGGAAAAGAAGGAACCCGCGGCTCCTCCGAGGAGCCCAGGAGCGGCCGCTGAAGCCCCAGGGGTCTGGAGACTGATGTGGGAGAGGGCGGCCGAGCCCCCCGCTGCTCCCGGTGGCAGCCAGCGAGTGGGTGTCTCGAGTCTCCTCCCGCGTGGCCCCGCTGGGTCCGTGTCTCCGCTCCTCCGCTCCCCTGGGTCTCTGCCTCTCCGTCTTTCTCCTTCTGAGCTGTTGACAACCCCCACACCAGGAAGTCCTGCCTCCTCGGGCCTGCTGACTGCTCCTCTCCTCCTCCTCCTCCTCCTCCTTCCCCTCCTCCTCCCCTTCCTCCTCCCTCCCTCCCTCCTGGGGCTTCCCGCCAGCTGGCCCGGGGCCAGGCCTGCCACAGCCGCTGCTGTTGCAGTTGCTGCAGCCACTGCTTAGGCTGCTGCTCCTGGGGGCCCCAAACAGACTCTCTTAACCCCACACCTGCCGGGCCCAGCCCCACTCTTGCAGGCAGGGGCTGCAGAGGGCGGGGCTCGGGGAGAAAGGGGAGGAGCTTGCAGGGAGGCGAGGGATTCCCTTACTTGTAGTCAGTTGCTGCCATTGGCCTAGAGACACACAGAAGAAACGGAAGGCACAGGCCGGGAGGTGTGCTGGATGCCCACCCAGAAGTGCCCAGTCCCTGCTGCGGGGCGGCTGTGGCTGTCATTCTCCTTTGGTTTTCACAGCAACTGCATGAGGAAGGTACTATTATTCCCCCCATTCCTTATTTTTAAAAGTGGATTATTGCCGGACCCCGGTGGTGGCTCATGCCTGTAATCCCCACACTTTGGGAGGTCAAGGAAGGAGGATTGCTTGAGACCAGTTTGGACAATATAATAGCAAGACCTCGTCTCTACAAAACAAACAAAAAAAATTGGCTGGGCATGGTGATGTGCACCTATAATTCCAGCTACTCAAAGGCTGAGGTGGGAGGATCCCTTGAGCCCAGGAGTTTGTGACCAGCCTGGGCAATATAGCGAGATCCCCATCTCTACAAAAAATTAAAAAATAGCACTTTGGGAGGCCGAGGCGGGCGGATCACGAGGTCAAGAGATTGAGACCATCCTGGCCAACATGGTGAAACCCCATCTCTACTAAAAATATAAAAATTAGCCAGGTGTGGTGGCATGCACCTGTAGTCCCAGCTACTCAGGGGGCAGGAGAATCACTTGAACCCGGGAGGCGGAGGTTGCGGTGAGTAGAGATCGTGCCACTGCACTCCAGCCTGGCGATTAGAGCGAGACCGTCTTAAAAAAAAAAAAAAAAAGCTGAGTGTGGTGATGTAGACCTGTAGTCCCAGCTACTCAGGAGGCTGTGAGGCAGGAGAATCTCTTGAGCCCAGGAGGTTGAGGATGCAGTGAGCCTACATTGTGCCACTGCACTCCAGCCTGGGCAACAGAATGAGACCATGTCTCACCAAAAAAAAAAAAAAAAAAAAAAAAGTGGATTATTATGAAAATTTTCAAACGTGCCATGCAGACATGGGGAGACCATGCAAACTCCACACGGATGGTGGTCCAAACCCAAAATTAATTTTTAAAAAATCATCAACGTTATAATGAAATGACATTCAATGAAATGACATGTGGGGGCCAGCTGTATTTTGCTGGACTATTTGAAACCAAATCCTGGATGTTATACTATTTCCCTTTGCCCCAACCACTCCCCCACATTTTTTTTAGAGACAGGTGCTCTCTCTCTCTCGCTCTCTCTCTTCTATTGCCCAGGATGGAGTGCAGTGGTGTGATCATAGCTCACCACAGCCTGGAACTCCTAGGCTCAAGCCATGCTCCTGCCTCAGCCTCCCAAGTAGCTAGGACTTTAGATGCACGCCACCACACCCAGCTAATTTTTAAATTTTTGTAGAGATGGGAGCTCTCACCATGTTGCCCAGTATGGTCTCAAACTCCTGGCTTCAGTTGGTCCTCCCGCCTCAGTCTACCAAGTAGCTGGGACTACAGACACACACTACTACGCCTGGCTAAATTTCTTTAAAAAAAAATTTTTTTTGGTAGAGATGGGGGTCTTGCAATGTTGCCCAGGGTCGTCTTGAACTCCTGGCCTCAAGTGATCCTCCTGCTTCTGCCTCCCTAGTAGCTGGGACCACAGGTGTACTCCACCACACCTGGCTAATTTTTTAGTTTTCATAGAGACAGGGTCTTACTATGTTGCCCAGGCTGGCCTCAAATGATACTCCCACCTGGGCCTTCCAAAAAACTGACATTACAGGCGTGAGCCATGGTGCCTGGCCTCAGGGAAATTTCTAACCCCTCTTTAGGGTTAGGTAAAAATAAAACAATGGAATACCTACCCTCGTTATGTATTTGTTCTTTATCTCTTTGTTAGAAACATCCACACTCCTGTTTCTCTCCCTTAAGCCATAGTAACAATGACTGCCATAGCCCAGGTCTGTGAGCCTCCCAAGTAGTGATGTCTGGGAAGCAGCCTCCCACCTGCTCCCTACCCCTCCAGACTGCATCCCTCTGTCCCTCACAGAACCTCTTCTCCTCTAGCAACACTCAGAACATGGCCTTGGTCCCTCCGTCCCCAGGCCCTCCTTCCTTCTTGCTGACTTGCTACAAACTATCCAAAAATTATCTTTGGGGCCGGCCTGGTGGCTCAAGCCTGTAATCCCAGCACTTTGGGAGGCCGAGACGGGCGGATCACGAGGTCAGGAGATCAAGACCATCCTGGCTAACACGGTGAAACCCCGTCTCTACTAAAAAAATACAAAAAACTAGCCGGGCGAGGTGGCGGGCGCCTGCAGTCCCAGCTACTCGGGAGGCTGAGGCAGGAGAATGGCGTGAACCCGGGAGGCGGAGCTTGCAGTGAGCTGAGATCCAGCCACTGCACTCCATCCTGGGCGACAGAGCGAGACTCCGTCTCAAAAAAAAAAAAAAATTATCTTTGGGCAATCCCTTTCTCTGCCTCAGGCACTGGTATCTGAGTCTAGAGGCCCTGGCACATTGCTGACCTCTGCAGAAATGTTTGTTGAGTGAATACATACAAATTTTTATGTCTTAATTTAATTTAATTTAATTTGAGATGAAGTCTCGCTCTGTCACCCAAGCTGGAGTGCAGTGCCATGATCTCATCTCACTGCAACCTCCGCCTCCCAGGTTGCAATCCTCCTGCCTCAGCCTCCCGAGTAGCTAAGATTGTAGGCACCCGCCACCACGCCCAGCTAATTTTTGTATTTTTAGTAGAGATGGGGGGTCTCATCATGTTGGCCAGGCTGGTCTCGAACTCCTGACCTCAAGTGATCTGCACGCCTCAGCCTCCCGAAGTGCTGGCATTACAGTCGTGAGCCACCGCTCCCGACCTATACGTATAAACTAATCATACTAAAGGTATAAATGTGAAATGGGTTTTAAGTGTTTTAGTATCTCCCTCCCCTGGGAGCATTCTTAATAGCCTTTAATATGTAGGACCCTTTACAATTTACAAGGCACTTTGGTATTATTTTACTACCCCTCCTCTGCCAACAAAGAATGGACTAAAGCCAGCTTGTCCAACTGCACCGGCAGCTTGTGGCCCAGGACAAATTTGTAAACTTTCTTAAAACATTAGGAGTTTGGGTTTTTTGTTTTTTTGTTTTTTTCTGAGGCAAGAGTCTCACTCTGTCCCCTAGACTGGAGTGCAGTGGTCTGATCTCAGCTCGCTGCAACCTTCACCTCCCAGGTCAAGCGATTCTCCTGCCTTGGCCTCCCGAGTAGCTAGGATTACAGGCGCACGCCACCATGCCAAGCTTATGTTTTCTATTTTTAGTAGACACAGGGTTTTGCCACGTTGGCCAGGCTGGTCTCAAACTTCTGATGTCAGGTGATCCACCAGCCTCGGCCTCACAAAGTGCTGGGATTACAGGCGTGAGCCACCGCGCCCAGCCAGTGTTAAGAGTATTTTATGTGTGGCCCAAGACAAATTATTCTTCCAATGTGGTCCAGAGAAGTCAAAAGAGTGTACATCCCTGGACTAAAGCATCTCTCAGAGAGGTTGCACGATCTGCCTAAAGCCACACAGCAAGTCTGCAAAGACGCTGCCATGGGAAGTAGCATTCGCAGGCCAGGGATTAGGCCATGCCTATCTTTGCCATGCCCATTTTCCAGCCCGTGGAAGGTACAACTGAGGTCTTCTCGAGCTGATTTACCCCCGCTACAGAGCTGTGCGCCCAAGGAATTTCAGAGAAAGTTGTTTCTAGGGGAGATGATGAGAAAAGCGATGGGCGGGGAGGTCGAGGTCACGTCCCGCAGCGGCCCCCTGACAGTGCCAGGGTGGTGGCCACACTCAGAGGTCGACCCTGGTCGTTGCGAGCGGCGCTGGGGGAGTCAAAGGTCATGAGAGGAGGGCTCGGACCACGGGGGCGGACGGCTTTGAGCCCAGACGATGGAAGGAGATCCGAGCACCCCCGGGAGGCTGCAGGGGGAGGCGGCCGATTCCCCCGCGAGCCAACTCGGGTGCTCTCCTGGCACCTGGGGGCGGCGGGGAAAGGGGGGGCGGCGGGGAAAGGGGGCGCGGCCGCCTGAGCACGCCCCCTGCTGGGCTGAGCCGCCTCCCGTCCAGTTCCCTCGGAGCCCCTCGGCCCGGAAAGCGGCACCCCCTGGCGGCCTCGGCGCCTCACTGCACCCCGGGCCCCGCAGCCGCAGCCTCGGCCCCGGCCCGATGCTGGGTGCGGACCCGGGGCGCGCCGGGCGCACGGGGTGCACGGGGTGCACGGGGCGGGGGCGGGGGCGCGGGCCCCAGGCTGCCGCTGGGGGGCACCGCTGCACGCCGCTCCGCCGGGGCCCGGGAGACCGAACCCAGCACCGCCCGGCTGGGCAGGGGGCGAGGGGCGGCGAGGAGTAGACACCCCAAGACCGCGACGGGCTGGCGCCGGGCCCCCAGCGCCCCACGACCTTCCTCCGAATCTGTCCCCGCAGGCTCCGCGGCTCCCGCGCCCCGCGCCCCAGCCTCGCGGCCCCGCGCCGCACGGCCGCTCCCGTTCCGTCCTTGGAGGGTGTGGAAGGGTGGGTTTGGGGCCGGGGGCGGGTCTGGGGGCGGACCCGGAGGCGGGGCTGTCTCTGCGGCAGGGCCCAGCTTCGCTCCCCCCGGTCTGTCTCTGTCTCTCCTCCTCCCTCCTGCTCCGGGCGGAGCCCGGCATGGGGGGGCCGGCGCCCGGCAGGCCAGGTACGGTGATGGAGAAACTGGGGAGGCTTGGTGCAGGAAGGTTGGGGTGGGGGGACAAGGGACAGGGAGGATTGGCGGAGCGAAAGGCGGAGAAGCCCAGGGTAGCAGGACAAGGGGAAGGGGAGGGGTGCCAGGAACCTGGGGCCCTTGGATGGAGAAGGGGGATGAAGCAGGCCAGGTTTGGAACAGGGGAAGGGGGAGGACGGCTATAAGGAGGGGCGCCTGGGAGGAGAAGTGAGGCTGAAGGCGAAAAGAAGAGTGTAGGTTTGGGGGAAGGAAAACCGGAGCAGGTATGAAGGCCGCAGCCCAGAAGGTAGCAATGGGGCCAGACTGGAGCCCCCCGGGTGGGATTGAGGGGCGGGGACTGGAAGAGGAAAACCGGGGGCCTCCCAAATCCTGGAGGAAGAAGAAGGTGATTGGGGCCATCAGCGAGGGAGGGAGGCAGAGACCAAACCATTGCTAAAGGGCCAGGGAGCCAGAATCGGGGTGGACCAAGGCCCAGGCCCGGGGAAGGACTGGAAGAGGGGGAAGGCAGGCAGTGGAGATAGATGGATGGGTGGTATTTTAGATACCCAACTCAGGGTGTCTCCCATCCTTCCTTCAGCGTCCCCACCCTGCCCTCATAAGATCCCCCCCTACAGCCCAAGATGGGAGGGAGAGTCTGACCATCTCCCCTTTCCCCAGTGGGGTGCAATGTACGCAAGTAGGCCCTGGGCATAACTCTTTGCCTGTAGGTGTGTCCGGTTCCGTGTAGCAGATTTGTGTGTGTCTGGAGGTCTGTGTGTGTGTCTGTGGGTGTGTCTGTGGGTGTTTATGTCTGTGTGCCTGTCTATCCCTAGGTTTCTGTTTACCTATGCCAATCTCTGTGTCTGGTCCTCCGTCTGTAGATGTGGGTCGGTGGCTCTGTGGTTTGTGTGTCTGAATGTGTACTTGTGTAGCTGAGGGGTTGCAGTCCGTTTGTGGGGCCTGTATGGGTGGTGGATCAGGATGTCTTTACACAAGAAGGGAATCTGTGTTGACCTGGTCGCTCCAGAGTGTGTATTTGCGGCTCTGAACACCTTTGTCGGGGTCTTGTGTCTGTCTATCTGTCTGTGGGTCCTTGAAGCTGTGTTGGGTTTTCTGTCTGTGTTTTCCTCTCTGAGGACCCGAGTCATGTCTCTTCTCCTTTTTCTCTCTTTCATTCATCCCTGGCCCCCACCCATCCCACCTTTCTTTTTTTTCCCTTCTCACCACCCCCTCCCCCAACCCAGTGGATCCGGGACCCAGGGAGGGCCGCCCCCCGGGCCTGGTGGCACTGAGCAGGGCCCCCCAGCCCCCACCTCCTGCCCCACGAGATGAACCTCCTTTACCGGAAAACCAAGCTGGAGTGGAGGCAGCACAAGGAAGAAGAGGCCAAGAGGAGGTAAGGCTGTGCCCCAGACCATTCCCTTTCCTTCCGCACCTCTGCCTGCCCCCTCACTGGGCCACAGCCCTTCTGGGGGCCTGGCAGCCTTGTCATGAGTGAGCTCTCTGCTCTCAGAGTCAGTACGGAACGGCCAGGATTGCACACAGATTGTCCTGGCCCAACTCCTGCCCTCCTGCGGGGGGGTTTACAGCCCAGGAGCACCCTTTTGGTTGTTCCCCATCCCCAGAGGCCCAAGTCACTCCTTCCTGACTCACCTCTGGCCTGTAGCCTTTCTCCTTTCTGCAAATTTGGGGCTGGCTGTGGGCTCTCCTGTCACCTGACCTTGGAAGGGGCAGGCCCCGCCTCCCTCCCAGGGTCTAGGGAAGGGGTCATTTCAGGGGCATCAGAGAACATCCACTTGGCCTCCTCCCAGTTTCCCCTGCTGCAGGAGGCGAGTGGTCAAGTTGTGTGTGTGGTGGGCGGACATGCGGGCTGGGCCTTGCCAAAGAGCCGGGGCAGGGCACGACCCCCGGACGCCTGTATCCCTGTCTGCCTCCTCGCTTGCCCTTCCAGGGACCTGGGGCCTGGCCTCTCCCATCCTTCTCTCCTTCTCCTCTTCACTCCCATTGACTTCACAGCCACTTGGAGCCTGTCAGCCACCTCCCTTTTCCTTCCTCGCAACTGTGGAGTTTAATTCTTGTTGTTAATTAGATTAATCAGAGTGATCGCTGCAGCGATCTCTCCCTAATGAAGGGCTAGCAGACAGGGCCTTAATGAGCGCCCACCCCACACAGCTCTCCTCTCTTCCCTGCCAGCCGCCCCCCCTCCACTCCCCGCAACCCTCCACTCAGACAGAAGCTCAGGGAGAGTGGAATGGAATGGGGGTGAGCCAGGGAGGGTGACAGAGAGAGGACAACACCAGGGGAGAGAGAGGAAGAAGGATGGGCCAGGGGAGAGAGGCTGCTCTGGTCCTGGAGGGACACATCGTGCATCTGGGAGAGGAGGTGTGCCATGGGGGTGTAGGTCACAGTGACTGAGCAGGAGGGGAGACCAGAGGCCAGGTGTGGGCCAGTGTGAGAGTGAGAGGGGCCGAGGAGCTGTGAGGGCAGGTGTGTCTGTCTGTGTTACCTGGGTTTGTATCTCTATCTCTGCACAAGGCTGTCCACATAGGTGCCCAGGCTGGGATCTGCCAGCCCCAGGGATGCTCCCCTGCAGGCATACTCACCCCTCTCCTCATACCTGCCCCCAACTGCCTTGCCTTTTTAAAGCCCAAGATTCTGCCTGAAGCCCCTTCATTGGTGCCCTGGACCTTCTGGCAACCCTGTCCCCACCCAGGCTCCTGTCCTCCTCCCTGGGAAGCCACAAGGTTGCTGACACCTCTTGGGGCGGAGAAGGGGGAGGCCCAGGTCTGAGGCCCTTCCTCCACTCCATCGTGGCCTTCTCTCCCCAGCTCCAGTAAGGAGGTGGCCCCCGCTGGCTCGGCTGGGCCGGCGGCCGGCCAGGGGCCTGGGGTCCGCGTGCGGGACATCGCCTCGCTACGGCGCTCCCTCAGGATGGGTTTCATGACGATGCCTGCCTCCCAGGAGCACACCCCGCACCCCTGCCGCAGTGCCATGGCCCCACGGTCCCTCTCCTGCCACTCGGTGGGCAGCATGGACAGTGTCGGGGGTGGCCCTGGTGGGGGCGGTGGAGGCCTCACAGAGGACAGCAGCATCCGAAGACCCCCTGCCAAGCCCCGGAGACACCCCAGCACCAAGCTTAGCATGGTGGGGCCCGGGTCGGGGGCAGAGACGCCCCCCAGCAAGAAAGCAGGTGAGATACCCCCTATCTCTCCCTGGGGTGGAGCTGGGAGCTGGGAGGATCTATTCCAGGCCGGGGGAGGCTTGCCGGGAGGGTTCATTCAGGGAAGAACCAAGGAAGTGGAAGATTCCATTCTTAAGGAATTGGGGGGGTCCTTTTGGATGGGCCTGAGATGAACCATCCAAGGGCAGGGGACACTCCCTGAAAAGTTCTTGAGAGAGGCGTGGTGGCCTCGGAGGGACAATGAGGGTAGGAGCTGCGGATTCTGGAGAATACATTAGAAAGACTGAGGACTGTGGGACAGACACGATGGCTCACGCCTGTAATCCCAGCACTTTTTTTTTTTTTTTTTTTTTTGAGACAGAGTCTCGTTCTGTCGCCCAGGCAGGAGTGCAATGGCGCGATCTCAGCTCACTGCATCCTCCACCTCCCAGGTTCAAGCAGTTCTCCTGCCTCAGCCTCCCAGGTAGCTGGGATTACGGGCGTCCATCACCACGCCTGGATAATTTTTTGTATTTTTGTAGAGTCAGGGTTTCGCCTTGTTGGCCAGGCTGACAAGGCCAGGCTTGCTGGCCTCAGGTAATCCACCCACCTCGGCCTCCCAAAGTGCTGGGATTACAGGCATGAGCCACTGTGCCTGGCCAATTAGTTGATGTTTTAAAAAGACCAAGGGCTGACTAGTAGAAAAGTAACCTACAGCTGGGCATGGTGGCTGATGTCTGGAATCCTAGTGCTTTAGGAGGCCGAGGCAGGAGGATCCCTTGAGCCCAGGAGTTTGGTACCAGTCTGGGCAACATGGAAAGACCTGTCTCTATTAAAAAATAAAAAAGAAATGAGGAAGCCTCCTGGGGCTGTAAGTTGAGGAATGTGGGGAAAATGAAGAGGCAGATATGTCCTTGCAGAGGGGTCAAGGGATCAGAATGGGCTCCTCCCACTTGCTCCCCTCATTAAAAGCCTGGTTTATTTTTCTCTTTCTTGTCCTGTCCAGGCTCACAGAAGCCAACCCCAGAGGGCCGAGAGTCCAGCCGGAAGGTTCCTCCACAGAAGCCCAGGCGAAGCCCTAACACCCAGCTCTCTGTCTCCTTCGATGAGTCCTGCCCCCCAGGCCCCTCTCCTCGAGGGGGGAACCTGCCTCTTCAGCGCCTCACTAGGGGGTCCCGAGTAGCTGGGGACCCTGATGTGGGTGCCCAGGAAGAGCCTGTGTACATTGAGATGGTGGGGGACGTCTTTAGGGGAGGAGGACGAAGTGGAGGAGGCCTGGCTGGGCCCCCTCTTGGGGGTGGGGGCCCGACCCCTCCAGCGGGCGCCGACTCGGACTCTGAAGAGAGTGAGGCCATCTATGAGGAGATGAAGTACCCGCTGCCGGAAGAGGCCGGGGAAGGCCGGGCCAATGGCCCTCCACCATTGACCGCAACATCCCCGCCACAACAGCCTCACGCCCTTCCGCCCCATGCCCACCGCCGCCCAGCTTCAGCCCTTCCGAGCCGGAGGGATGGGACGCCCACCAAGACCATTCCTTGTGAAATCCCCCCACCCTTCCCAAACCTCCTTCAGCACCGGCCTCCACTCCTGGCCTTCCCCCAAGCCAAATCTGCTTCCCGAACCCCTGGCGATGGGGTCTCGAGGCTACCTGTCCTCTGCCACTCCAAGGAGCCAGCCGGCTCCACCCCAGCTCCCCAAGTGCCTGCACGGGAGCGGGAGACGCCTCCCCCACCGCCTCCACCTCCTGCTGCCAACCTGCTGCTGCTGGGACCATCGGGCCGGGCCCGGAGCCACTCGACACCGTTGCCACCCCAGGGCTCTGGCCAGCCCCGGGGGGAGCGGGAGCTCCCCAACTCCCACAGCATGATCTGCCCTAAGGCGGCGGGGGCGCCGGCAGCCCCCCCTGCCCCGGCCGCCTTGCTCCCCGGCCCCCCCAAGGACAAGGCCGTGTCTTACACCATGGTGTACTCGGCGGTCAAGGTGACCACGCACTCTGTCCTGCCAGCCGGTCCACCCCTGGGTGTTGGGGAGCCAAAGACGGAGAAGGAGATCTCAGTCCTCCATGGGATGCTGTGTACCAGCTCGAGGCCCCCCATGCCAGGGAAGTCCAGCCCCCACAGTGGGGCCATGGGCGCAGCAGCTGGGGTCCTCCACCACCGCGGCTGCCTGGCCTCCCCCCACAGCCTTCCAGACCCAACTGCAGGCCCCCTGACCCCGCTGTGGACCTACCCAGCCACAGCAGCTGGGCTTAAGAGACCCCCTGCCTATGAGAGCCTCAAGGCTGGGGGGGTGCTGAATAAGGGCTGTGGTGTGGGGGCCCCGTCCCCCATGGTCAAGATTCAGCTGCAGGAGCAAGGGACCGATGGGGGTGCTTTTGCCAGCATCTCCTGTGCCCACGTCATCGCCAGTGCAGGGACACCAGAGGAGGAAGAGGAGGAGATGGGCGCCGCGACATTTGGGGCAGGCTGGGCCCTGCAGAGAAAGGTCCTCTATGGAGGGAGAAAAGCAAAGGAGTTGGACAGTGAGTGAGGGGTGGGGAGTGGGGGCTGGCGTCGGGGGTGGGGGGCAGCTGGGAATGCCTGCGATGGTTTGGGGGAGGTGTTGGAGGGGTTATTTGGAAGTCACAGTCTTGAGTCTGGGATGTTTTCTAGGAGACCAGAGGGGTGGAGGTGAGCAATAGACAGAAAGACGGGGGTCACCCAGTGTGCGCTGGAGGGGCAGGAAGGTCTGGGAGGTGAAGGGGGTCAAATCTGGCCCTGTCCTGCTCTGCTCCCTGCCCCTCCCTTCCCGGGGCTGCAGGGGTGTGTGCTTGTGAGTGTGCGCACCAGGAACTAAACACAGCTGCCTCCCAGCTGTTACCATGGCAACCCATCCAGACAGGAGGGAGAGGAGAGGAGGCCCCTACCGTTGCCTGGCAACGCAATGCTCTGCCAGGCCTCCTCTCAGAGATGAGCTTAGTTCACAGGCAGCCCTTCCCCCTGCCCTCCTCCTTCTGGGCTCAGGAATTGGGATTCTCACCCTACAGGTCTTGGTCCCAGGGGAATGGTCATTCTGGCCCTAGCTGGAGATGGAGGGGCTTGGAAGCTAAAGCTGGGGTTGGGGAGGCCCCTCTGACCAGGGAAAAGGGTTTGGATGCAGCACATATACATGATTCTCAGCCCCAGGAGATGGTACCGATGGGTGGAAAGGAACAGGTGTATGTGCGTGTGTGTGGGGGGGGGGAGTGTGAAGGAACCCCATCCCAGCTGTTACTTGCAAAAGGGGCAGTTGTGTCTCCTGGTCCACCCATGCTGCAGCATGTGTGACCGGAGGGACAGAAGGACGCCTCCAATGTGCAGGCACACAGCTTTCCTTGTCATCCCAGCAGAGGTCGAGGATGGTGCCCGGGCCTGGAATGGCAGTGCCGAGGGTCCAGGCAAGGTGGAGCGTGAGGACAGGGGCCCGGTGACATCAGGGATCCCAGTGAGGAGCCAGGGGGCAGAGGGCCTGCTGGCCAGGATCCACCACGGAGACCGAGGAGGGAGCCGCACCGCGCTGCCCATTCCTTGCCAGACCTTCCCTGCCTGCCACCGCAATGGAGGTGATGTGGCCTGCACACACCTGTGCACAGTGGGGCTGGCTGGGGGATCTCCCGGGGTCTGGCTGCACCTGTCCTGACTTCCTCTCACCTGTTCATGTCCACATCCAGGGCCCTAAATCTTCATACCACATCTCCACCCCCTTTTCCGCCTTGATGAGGCAGGGGCAGCCTGGATCATTCAAGGGCAGGGGACTGGGAACTAGGGGAGGGGCACCTGAGGCTCCTGCCCTCCTCACTCCTCCTTCTTCCACCTCAGACTTCACGGGAGGCTACCGCCTAGGGCGCTCGGCCTCCACCTCCGGAGTCCGGCAGGTTGCGCTCCACACACCCCGGCCCTGCAGCCAGCCCAGGGATGCCCCGAGCCAGGTGAGGCTTGGTTTTTCTTTTATTTGTGAAGGAGCAGGTGGAGAAGGCTTGAATGTGCAAAGAAAAGCAATAAAGGGGCCAGGGCTGGGCACAGTGGCTCATGCCTGTAATTCCAGCACTTTGGGAGGCCAAGGCAGGAGGGTCACTTGAGGCCAGAAGTTCATTAGCTTGAGCAACATAATGACACCCTGTCTATTTTGCTTTTTTAAAGAAGGCCAGTTGCAGTGGCTCGCACCTGTAATCTCAATGCTTTCAGAAGCCGAGGCAAGTAGATTGCTTGAGCCCAGGAGTTCAAGATGAGCCTGGGCCACATAGCGAGACCCCATCTCTATAAAAAATAAAAAATGTAGTCAGGTGTGCCGGCGCAAGCCTGATTTCCAGCGACTCTGGAGGTTGAGGTAGGAGGATGGCTTTACCCTGGGAGGTGGAGGTTGCAGTGAGCCATGATCACGCTACTGCATTCCAGCCTGAGCCACAAGGTGAGACCCTGTCTTAGAAGAAAAAAAAAAAAGAAAGAAAGAAAGGGGCCAGGCAGGGTGCGGTGGCTTATGCCTGTAATTGCAGCACTTTGGGAGGCCGAGACGGGCAGATCACCTGAGGTCAGGAGTTCGAGACCAGCCTGGCCAACATGGTGAAACACTTTCTCTACTAAAAATACAAAAATTAGGGCCAGGTGCGGTGGCTCATGCCTGTAATCCCAGCAGTTTGGGAGGCTGAGGCGAGTGGATCATGAGGCCAGGAGTTCGAGACCAGCCTGACCAACATGGTGAAACCCCATCTCTACTAAAAATACAAAAATTAGCCGGGTGTGGTGGTGCGCGCCTGTGGTCCCAGCTACTCGGGAGGCTGAGGCAGGAGAATCGCTTGAACCCAGGAGATGGAGGTTGCAGTGAGCCAAGATCACGCCACTGCACTCCAGTGGCCTGGGCAACAGAAAGAGACTCTGTCTCAAAAACAAAAAACAAAAAAACCCACAAAAATTAGCTGGACGTTGGGGCAGGCACCCGTAATCCCAGCTACTCAGGAGGCTGAGGCAGAAGAATTGCTTGACCCCGGGAGACAGAGGCTGCAGTGAGGCAAGATCATGCCACTGCACTCCAGCCTGGGCGACAGAGTTAAGACTCTGTCTCAAAACAAACAAACAAACAAACAAACAAAACAAAACAAAGGGCCATGCAGGCTGGGGTCTGAGCCAATACAGACTAACAGGAACCCAGGAATGAGAGTGAGGGGGTTGGGAGAGGATCTGGGAAGGGTTTGAAGGTTTGCTTAAGATGGGCAGCAAGGTAGGGCCCAGCTTGGAGATCAGTCAGGGCCACCACTAGCCAACAGCGCACCTTTGCGCAATTTAGGAAAAAGACCTCCCCACTGGGCACCATGTCTTGTGCCTGTAATCCCAGAACTGTGGGAGGCAGAGATGGGAGGATCGCTTGAACCCAGGAGACTGAGGTTGCAATGAACTGTGATCCCACCACAGCACTCTATCCTGAGTGTAAGGGCAAGACCCTGTCTCAAAAGAAATAAAAATAAAGAGGTCAAGCATGGTAGCTCACGCCTATAATCCTAGTACTTTGGGAGGCCCAGGCAAGAGAAGTGGTTGAGCCCAGGAATTCTGTACCAGCCGGGGCGACATAGGGAGACCCTGTCTTTACAAAAAATTAAAAAATTATCCAGACAGGTGGTGCGTGCCTGTAGTTCCAGTAACTCTGAAGGCTGAGGCAGGAGAATCACTTGAGCCTGGGAGGTGGAGGCTGCAGTAAGCCATGGTCGTGCCACTGCACTCCAGCCTGGGTGTCAGAGGGAGAACCTGTCAAAAGAAAGAGAGAGAGAGAGAGAGAGAGAGAGAGGAAGGGAGGGACCCTGTCTACCCTTGCCCCAGCTGGGCACAGTAGTTGATACCTGTAATCCCAGTGCTTTGGGAGGCCAAGATGAGAGGATCCCTTGAGGCCAGGAATTCAAGACCAGGATTGGCAACAAAGCAAGATCCAATCAATACAAAAAAAAAATTTAATTTAATTTTTTAACAATTAGCTTGTGTAGTGGTATATGCCTGTAGTCCCAGCTACTTGGGAGGGAGGCTGAAGCTGGAGGATTGTTTGAGTCTAGAAGGTAGAGGCTGCAGTGAGCTATTATTGCACCACTGCACTCTGGCCTGGGCGACAGAGCCAGACCCTGTCTCAAAAAGACAAAAGAAAGAAAGAAACAAAGGCATCCCTTCTAGGGGGAGCAACTTACAAAACGCGTCTGTCTAGGAAGACTAGGGCGTGACTGGGCCAAAGCTGCCGGAGTTGGATTTCGGCCCCCATGGGCCCCACAGCCAGAGGGAGCCAGCCGAGGCCGTGGGGGGCAAGTAAGGACTTGCTTCTAGGGGAAGACGTGGGTCTAGGCAGTGCGGACCCGGTCCGGTCATGCTGAGGTCCCCGACCCTACCCGCCTTTTCCTTTCTCCCCCGCCCGCGGCACAGCCCCACCCGGCGCTGCCGCTGCCGCTGCCCCTGCCGCCCCTGCCGCCCCTGCCGCCCCAGCCGGCCCGCGAACGCGACGGGAAGCTGCTGGAGGTGATCGAGCGCAAGCGCTGCGTATGCAAGGAGATCAAGGCGCGCCACCGCCCGGACCGAGGCCTCTGCAAACAGGAGAGCATGCCTATCCTCCCCAGCTGGCGGCGGGGTCCCGAGCCCCGCAAGTCCGGCACCCCGCCCTGCCGCCGGCAGCACACGGTCCTCTGGGACACCGCCATCTGAGGCGGGCGGGGGGACCTGGGCGCCTGGACTGGGGCGGGGGCGGGCACGCCTGGCTCTCCCGGGAGCCTCGCCTTGAGAGACATTGAAGGACCACGTGGGAGAGTGCCAGGGAGAACCCCTGCCCTCCACCGTACCCCCTGGGATGGAGAGAGTCTGCCAGGCCCATTGGGCTTAGGGTGCCAACAGCGCTGCTGAGAAACTTGGAGGAGGAGGAGGGTTTGCTTGAGGTTGGGGCGAGGCGCTCTGGCTGTTCTTCCCCCTGGGCGCTATGCGTGTCTCCTCCTGAACCAAGCCAGAGGTCAGCATGGGGAAGGGAGGAAGGAAGGGATGGGAGGAAGAGGGGGGTGGGTGAGCTCAAAGAGAGGGACTAGAGTGCCAGATGGAGGAGCTCTTTTCTAGAGAGCCGGGAGTTGGGGAGGGGGTATTTATTTTGTTATTTATTTCAGTCTGGAGGGCGATTCTGGGCCCTTCTGACCTACTCCTGAGCCGGGAGTGGAGAATCAGGGCCAAGTTTGCACTCTCCCCAGTGCCAATGCCTAAAGGCCCCGCCATCCATGCCACCCCACAGCCAAGGAGGGGTCCGCATGGGGAGTGGACCGAGAGAAGAAGGGGCCCAGGGAAGCAGAGGGCCCAAGACCATTCACAGTATTTACAATTTGCCAGAATTTGGTAGTCAGTGTGGCCTGCTCTGAATCAGGCATCTTATTTAGTATTGGGGTGAGGGTCTAGTGCCAGGGATGGGCGGGATGATGGGGGAGGAGGAGGGAAATTTTAGCGGGTGGGGGTGGGTGGGCAGGGTATTTATTTAAATTAAAAAACAAAACACAGAAGAGATGTCAGGAACTTTTTTTTAATTCCTTTCTTTTCAGAATAATATATTAAAAGACTCATGATCCTAAAGCTGGCTTCTTCTATTTCACAGCGTGCTCTGTCATTCTTACACTTGCTCCTTTTCCCATCTTGCCCCTGGTTGGTGGGAGTTGAAGGTTGTGCGGGGAGGGGTGAGTAGCTGTGGCCAAGTCACAGGGTGAGGTGGAGTTCCAGGTAAGTCTTCGGGAATGCACCAGGCCATGACTCCATTAGCATTTTTTGTGCACAGAATGTGTTTTTCGCATTGCACTGATGCAGAAGGAATATTTGGGCATGAAGCTTGCCTTCAAGCACCTTGTGATCTACTCAGGGAGATAAAAACCCTGAGATGACAATAAACAGTGTTGCAGGAGTAAGAGATGGGGGACAGGGCCAAGTGTGGTGGCTCACACCTGTAATCCCAGCACTTTGGGAGGCCGAGGTGGGCAGATCACCTGAGGTTAGGAGTTCAAGACCAGCCTGACCAACATGGTAAAACCTCATCTCTACTAAAAAAAAATACAAAAATTAACCGGGTGTGGTGGCGCTATATCCCAGCTACTTGGGAGGCTGAGGCAGGAGAATCACTTGAACCCAGGAGGTAGAAGTTGCAGTGAGCCAAGATCACACCACTGCACTCCAGCCTGGGTGACAGAGTGAGACTCCGTCTCAACAACAACAACGAAAAAAAAAGAAGGGGTACAGGGCTGGAATCATCTAAGAAGGCTTCCTGCAAAGTTACCCTAAAAGGACAGGTAAGCTAGTCTAGGCAACATAGAGAAACCCTGTCTCTATAAAAAATACAAAAATTAGCCAGGTGTGGTGGCATGCGCCTTTAGTCCCAGATACTCAGGAGGCTGAAGTGGGAGGATGGCTGGAACCTAGGAGGCGGAGGCTGCAGTGAGCAGAGATTGTGCCACTGCGCTCCAGCCTGGTCAACAGAGCGAGATCCTGTCTCCCAAAAAAAAGAAAAAGGACAGGTGAGGTTTGGAGAGGGGAAGAGGAAAACTCCAAGGTCACGGTCATGGTTTGATTGTCTATGGAACAGTAGGAGGTGGGGGCAGGGAGAGGTAGGAAGTATGTTTAATGACGGTGATGGCATTAAGTGGTCCGGCCGTGGGACGGATCACCTGAGGTCAGGAGTTTGAGACCAGCCTGACCAACATGGAGGAACCCTTTCTCTACTAAAAAATATTAAAAAATTAGCTGGGCATGGTGGCACATGCCTGTAATCCCAGCTACTCGGGAGACTGAGGCAGGAGAATCACCAGAACCCGGGAGGCAGAGGTTGCAGTGTAGCAGGACGAGCTGCAGACAAAACTTCAGCAGCAGTGAACCGAGGTCGTGCCATTACACTCCAGCCTGGGCAACAAGAGTGAAACTCCATCTCAAAAAAAAAAAAAAAAGAGGTCCAACCATGATGAAGCTAGTTCAGAAAGACTGGCCACAAGGCAAGACTCAGGTCCAAGACTAGGGAAGCCAGGGAATCCTGCTGGGAGGTGATCTGTCACCAGGGAGGTGGATAAGGAGGGTGCCTGGGAGGATGGAGGGCTAGGGACAGTTGCAAGAGGCTACTGAAAGGAAACCCCCTCAGGATGGGGGTGAAGCAGCAGAACTGGTCATACAAGAGGCCCAAGTTTGGGCCGGCACGGTGGCTCAAGCTTGTAATTCCAGCACTTTGGGAGGCCGAGACGGGCGGATCACGAGGTCAGGAGATCGAGATCATCCTGGCTAACACGGTGAAACCCCGTCTCTACTAAAAAATACAAAAAACTAGCCGGGCGAGGTAGCAGGTGCCTGTAGTCCCAGCTACTCGGGAGGCTGAGGCAGGAGAATGGCATAAACCCGGGAGGCGGAGCTTGCAGTGAGCTGAGATCCGGCCACTGCACTCCAGCCTGGGCGACGGAGCGAGACTCCGTCTCAAAAAAAAAAAAAAAAGAAGCCCAAGTTTGAAGCTCTGGTGATTACAGAAATGACACAGCGAGACAGGTGGGCTTGAGAGTGACTTTGGAGGAAGAACATTAAATTTGAAGCAATGGTGAATATTTAGGTTGAATGGTTTGTTGCTCAATAGAACAGAGTTTTGGAAAATGTGGTGAATAGCCAGGCACAGTGGCTCACGCCTGTAATCCCAGCACTTTGGGAGGCCCCAGGGAAGAGGATCACTTGAGGCCAGGAGTTCGAGACCAGCCTGAGCAACACAGAACACCCCCGCCTCCATCTCTACAAACAATAATAAAAAAAAAATAGTTGGACTTGGTGGCATATGTCTGTAATCCCAGTTACTCAGGAGGCTGAAGCGGGAGGATCGCTTGAGCTCAGGAGGTCAAGGCTGCAGTGAGCCATGATTGCTTCACTGCATTCCAGCCTGGGCAACAGAGTGAGACCCTGTCTCAAAAAAAAAAAAAAAAATGTGGTAGATGCCACAGATGTTTTTACACTTTATGAAGAAGAACATTTTTAAAAACTTTAATAGTTTTGTATTTATTTTCATTTATATTAGAAAAGTTATAACCAACACATTAGGCTACTTGTTATTTCATGAATGTGATTGCACAAGATAAGTCTACAGTTATTTTTAATGAGCTGGTTTAAAGAAAAAATGTTAAGCCAGTAAATAATGGTACAGGCAATGTACAGAATATGAAAAATTCCGACAGTGGTATGTGAGTATTTGAAATTTAGGAAATAAGTTAAAAGTAAAATGATGATAGCTCAGGAGACAGGACAAGACTATGGACATTAGGAGTAATTGACATAGAAATGGCACTCAAGGCCGGGCGCGGTGGCTCAAGCCTGTAATCCCAGCACTTTGGGAGGCCGAGACGGGTGGATCACGAGGTCAGGAGATCGAGACCATCTTGGCGAACACGGTGAAACCCCGTCTCTACTAAAAAATACAAAAAACTAGCCGGGCGAGATGGCGGGCGCCTGTAGTCCCAGTTACTTGGGAGGCTGAGGCAGGAGAATGGCGTAAACCCGGGAGGCGGAGCTTGCAGTGAGCTGAGATCCGGCCACTGCACTCCAGCCCGGGCGACAGAGCGAGACTCCGTCTCAAAAAAAAAAAAAAAAAAAAAAAAAAGAAATGGCACTCAAGCCCAAGACAACTGACTTCTGCAAGGAGGGCAGGGCTAGAGAAAAGAGCTAGGGATGAAATACAGGCCAGGCGCAGTGTCTCATACCTGTAGTCCCAGCACCTTGGGAAGCCAAGGTTAGAAGATTGCTTGAGGCCAGGAGTTCGAGACAAGCCTGGGCAACAAAGCTAGACTTCATCTCTACAAAAAAAATTAATAAAAATTAGCTGGGTGTAGTGGTGTGCACCTGTTGCTGGAGCTTCTCAGGAGGCTGAGATGGGTGGATCGCTTCAGCTCATGAATTGGAAGCTGCAGTGAGCTATGATCTCTTCACTGCATTCCAGCCTGGGCAACAGAGTGAGACCCCAACTTGAAAAAAACAAAACAAAACCCAAGATATAAACAGGCAGTAGCTCTTTTTAACTAGCCAGAAAATTAGGGCAGGTGAGGTGTCTCATGCCTGTAATCCCAGCATTTTGGGAGGCCAAGGCGGGCGGGTCACTTGATATCAGGAGTTCGAGACCAGCCTGGCCAACATGGTGAAACCCTGTCTCTACTAAAAATACAAAATTAGCCGGGTGTGGTGGCAGGTGCCTGTAATCCCAGCTACTCAGGAGGCTGAGGCAGGAGTATTGCTTGAACCTGGGAGGTAGAGGCTACAGTGAGCTGAAATCGGACCACTGCACTCCAGCCTGGGTGACAGAGCAAGACTCTGTCTCAAAAAAAAAAAAAAAAAAAAAAAGGTAATTAATGGAAGTGGCTAGGCGCAGTGGCTCACGCTTGTAATCCTAGCACTTTGGTAGGCCGAGGTGGGTGAATTGCCTGAACTCAGGAGTTCGAGACCAGCCTGGACAACATGGCAAAATCCTATCTCTACTGAAAATGAAAAAAATTAGCCGGGCATGGTGGTATGGTGGTGGGCACCTGTAGTCCCAGCTATTGAGGAGGCTGAGGCAGGAGAATCACTTGTATCTGGGAGATGGAGGTTACAGTGAGCCAAGACTGTGTCCCTGCACTCGAGCCTGGGCAACAGAGCAAAACCCTGTCTCCAAAAAAAAAAAACGGAAAGGAAAATTAATGGAATGAAATATCCCATTCATAAGAGCAATAAAAACCTTAAAATAAATAGGAGTAACATTAACAAGAAATTATAGAACCTATATTGGGTCAGTTGATAACACTAAAGTATTTTGAGTCACTTAAAAAAGGAAGACCTTGGCCGACCGCAGTGGTTCACGCCAGTAATCCCAGAACTTTGGGAGGCTGAGGCTGGGTGGATCACCTGAGGTCAGGAGTTTGAGACCAGCCTGGCCAACATGGTGAAACCCCATCTCTACTAAAAATACAAAAATCAGCCAGGCGGGGTGGCGAGTACCTGTAGTCCCAGCTACTTGGGAGTCTGAGACAGGAGAATCATTTGAACCCAGGAGGCGGAGGTTGCAGTGAGCAGAGATCATGCTACTGCACTCCAGCCTGGGGGACAGAGCAAGACTCTGTCTCAAAAAAATAAAAGTAAAAATAAATTTAAAAGTACAAAACGAAAACCATCAGGACAAACGGCGATCGTTGTGGAGCAGGGGAGAAGGAAGGCTGGTGGGGTCAAGCACAGTGGCTCACACCTGTAATCCCAGCACTTTGGGAGTCCCAGGCTGGAAGATGACTTGAGCCC